TCCCAGTCCCGGGACAAGCAGAAGACTGATGGAGTGGATGTTGGGCGAATTGAGTGCAGCATGGAATTTCTCCCATAATTATGGATACTTATCCATGTTGGCGGACTCTTGATGAACTCCTGCAACATCTCCGGTGACCCTTGACCCACACTCATCAATCTTGTTGGCTTGGACATGCGAAAGAACACCAGCTCATTTTCAGCACTTCGGTCAGAGAACTCTTCACATACTCGATGTTGTGTAGGTGGAGGAGCGAGCTGCGGAGCGGACGGCGAAGCTTCGAAAGCAGCAGGAGGCGGGGCATGGGGCGCCCCGGTGAGGCCTTTGGTTCTGTGGGCTGGGGGATGGAAGCTGAGGGCTCCACACCTGCCATGCCATCCTGGTACGCGTCAATTGAGAGCCCAGGCACCCTTGGTACGCATCAAAACGACCGTTGGTCAAGATTTCTGGGATTACTGAGAGATGCTCCGCTCAGCGGCTAAGCCTAAGCTGCTAAGCTTCTCCAAGAACCTAAGTTGGGGACTCCATAGGAGTCGTCCTCAAGATTTTATCTTCCTGCACTTCATAACTTCATGCAAGGGCATTTCATTTGGAGAGCAACTCATATATCAGGACCATCCGGAAAGGGGTCATGGATTTGACTCCCGCCGACATTCCAATCACGACTCAGTTCACCATTTCAGTTGTCAACTTTCATTTTCTTCACCCACTTGACCACTTGGTACTGGCTTCCGAAGCCCTCTGCAGCCAAGCCAAATCTCAAAATGGAGAGAAATCCCCAGTTCATCCCCAGACGTGCAGTTATTTTTAGGAACAGGAACCCTCACCACCCTGGCTCGAGGTAGCTGAGGAGAAAGCACGCGAGCAGGATGCATTGTGTGAGAAGGCAGGGACTGATGACTGATGGAGTTGCCGTGAAGCGACAGGTTCTGGGGGCACGGTTTGGAGATGCAACTATAGAGTCCCCTAACAGGTCCCCAGTCATGGACACGATGTCCAAGAATTGAAACACATGGACATGATACGTATTATTCGCAGTGAACTCAGTTCTTTAATAGACACTTTGGGCACACCCACTTCATTCTTTGCGAGCACTCGTCAGTCTACCACCATTTCAACCAAGCTGGGGGGCAGATAGGACGCGTTTTGGCGCCGCAAGGCGCAACTCCAAGCTGGATCCTCAATGATCCACATGCTCGCCTGAAACTCCAGGATCGTGGGCGTTTGGAGAGCTTGGAAGAGGAGGCTGCTGAGCGCTTGAAGCTGTGCCCTCGGAGGGCGCAATAGACCACTAGGACGCTGTGTATGCCGAAGGTGGAGAACCTCTTTCTTGACTACACACTCAACCCTCCGCAGAGGTGTGGGGTTTCGCTGAGCCTATTCGTAGAACAAACATTAGAGGAAGATCATGGAGATGATTAGAACATAGTAAAGACACGATGGTTTGCCCAACAACACTACCAAGAAGCCCAATTGAGACATCCCACTGTCCTCCCAAAACCTGCCACCGCTATACCTCTTTGGCACTTGCGACACCCGAGGTCAGTGGAGGCGACGTGGGCGGCCAAGTTGAAGGCCCAGGAGAAGCCCTTGAGCTGTGCTGAGGAGGCCACGGTGGGGGGGGGGCTGATGAAGTGGGGAGAAGTGTCGGCAAGGTGAGTTTAGGGCGGTATGTAAGGGCCCGGCTTGACCAACCCCAGTCTGTTCAAGCAAGGAGGGTACTTCAACAAGACCTCTGAACTAGTACCCACACCTCTGAACATCAAATGACGGGTTTTTGAACAGTTTGTGAGATGGCTTATCATCGTCCTGCCCACCAATTGCAAACCTTGCAGCAAGTTCCTGCCAGCATGCAAAAAGGATTCGGGAAGTTGATGGACGTTGCGAAATTGCAACCAAAGTGATCCATGATTCGGGAAGTGAGGGAAGCGATCCAAACTGGTGACCCAAGTGATGGCCGTTTTTCTTTGCGAGTGAAGTTATTCAATCAAATCTGTGACGGACTGACACGAAGCACTTCAAGCTGGGCCACGGTTTTGGGCGCGTGTCGTAGAGGGGTTTTGTGTCCAAAACCCACATGTTCTTCGCCGGGCTCGTGGCAAGCTTTTTCGCGCCGGGCGTCTTTCTTCATCCAGTCTTGTCTTCCGCGACCCGTGTTGTGTCTGTTTGGGGTCTGCCGGGCCAAGCCACCTGCAGAGGCCTTGATGCAATATATCAACAAGAGCAAGTCCAAGATGGAGAGCTTGGAGCCCAGGAAACCATGGCACCTGACCAGCTCGTCGATGCTTGACTGTCCTTTCGCACGTTTCGAAGAACCGGACCCAACGGACCCCCACCGCAGGGGTTCAACGCAGTGGTTTGGAGCCGTCCACGTCAGCGAGTCATCAGCGTCCCAAGCCCTAGCATTCCACGCTTCCCGCCGCTTCCCGCTTCCTTCATCTGGCACACCTGTGCCCCACACGCCTTTTTTCCGCGCGAGGCAAGGTGAAGCGCTTGGAGGAGAAGGCGACGGCGGAGCAGAAGGCGGTCGAGGAGGAAGCCAGCGCACAACGGGTGGTGGCTCGGGGCCCCTGAGACGAGACCACCCCGTCCGGTGGGTCGAAGATGGAGACGATGTTGCCAGGGAATGGAGACGATGTAGACTCTTGAGACACATGAAACCTCGCTCCCCAATGTGGATTGAAACACCCGTTTTGGCTGTTTGATTCATCTGTTTGAGTCTACATGGCCCCGTGTCACAGCGGTTGTGGACGTCACACATCCCACGCAAGCGAAACGAGCCACGAAACCTTCTCCGAGGCTCCACAGCTGGCGGCGCTGAAGCAAGGAGGCTTAGTCCAAGAAGGCTATGAGGTATATCATTGTTTAGCTTTACTGCTTTACTCATTGTTGTACCCAGACACTCCATGGATGATGCAATGTCACATCTATCTACACTGTCTGTCAACGCTGTGTGTTGGCTCCGGCTCCTCCCCGCGGTCGGGCGACACGTCCGTCTCCGGTGTGAGGTCCGAGGTCTTGGCCACCGAGCGGGGCGCCCACGCCGCGGACGAGGCCGGGGGGGTCGGAGGAGGCCGGGGAGAGGTGGAGGACGTGTCCGGCGGACGTTTGGTGAGGTGTTCGGAGACCTGCGACGTTCTCCGCGCGTCAGAGGGTGGTCTTTCGTCATGCGACCAGGGCCTGATCGGCAGAAGAGGAGTTGGTCTGAAGCGCGTTCGGACATTGGTCGCGCGGGGCTCTTTGATGGCGGCAACATGGATACCTTTTGGTGGGTCCTGATAGACGTCGTAAATCATATCAAGCTTAGTTTTATTTCAATTTTGCTGAGAACAACATAGTGCCACTACAAGTTAAGAGGTGATCCCGTACTTGACTTTTTTGTCATATTCATATATCTAATATACTTAATCTAGTCTATCTAGGTTTGATTCTTTTTGTTGTAGGCCTACAGCAGATGGCCCACACCAGTTCAAGCAGTTTAGATGAGGTTCATCCAAAGTATGACCCACACCACCAAAGTTGTTCTGGAACTTGATGTCAGGATCGACCCTGAAGATCTGTTTCCTCCATGTTTGTGGGTCCACATCTTCGTCTGACTGGCGAACTGTTGATGGTGTCGAACTCCTTCACCCCCAGGCCCGATGTAGTAGTCGGTTGTTGCTGGTTTAGTAGAAGCCCGACTGGGTGTTTCGCAGTGGGGTGTTGACTACAGGCAGTTACGAAGGAGTCGTCGACTGCAAGAGATGCATCCTACCCGATGGGTCTTCTCTGAGGCCTGGAAGCGTGCAGAGGAGCGCGCCTGCGCGGAGGAAGCGAGGCCACGGTGTGAAGGAAATCACCGTCGTCATCGGTCGTGCTGTAGTGGCCTGTTTCCACCTGTTTGAAGGTGATGCCCTAGTTCTTTTGCTGTCTTTGGGATTCATGATCATCCCCTCGGGCCGATTTCATGCCCGTTGGGATTCAAGATCCAATGGCTTTTGTATGCTTTTGTATCTTTTTGAGCCATCTATATTGGCCATCGGCTTTTGGTTCAACAGCCTTCTCAACAGCTGTTAGTCTTTTTGTTTTTCGCGTCTTCCAAGCGAGCACCCGCCAATCGGAAGCACTCCGGTCGTCCCGTCGTCGCCTTCCAGTCCTTGGGGGACCGCCAGTTCGCCAACCCGAACTCGTTCACCTCGGCCGTTCCCCTCGGCTCTGCTCTGCTTCGTGGCGTGGGCCCGGCGTGTCCACCACTCGGGCTGTCAGCCGCTGGGCACCGGGGGGGGGACCGCTGGGGACCGGAGACGCGTTCCACAGCGACCGTGGGAGTGGCTGGGGGCAGGTTGGGTGCGTTCCTGAAGCGCTTGCCACAGTTGGAGGTTGGGTGGGGGGAGGGTGGAGAGGTCGTGTTTCTTTTTGTGGGTTCTGAAGGTGGGAGTCCTTCCAGGATGCTCAGATGCAAACCCTTCTGTGACCCGGGGGCGTTGGGGTGGTTAATCCTTTCTTTCACCAAGTCATCTGAGGACTTGAGCAGATTATTGGGAGTTGATTCAGGGGCACGGGGGCCGCCACAGAAAGCAGCATTTTCTCATGAGAGCATCTAAATCTACTCCATCAACTTCTGGTGCCATCAACCCACTTTGTGTGGAAGACTTCGGTAACTTGAGGCATGTGGGGCAGCGCGCAACCCGATTGCGGCGCTTGGGCCGACTGCTCCAGCTTTTGCTCAGGGAGGGTAGCAGCGCAGGAGTTTGTAGGAGTTGCATGAAGTCCTGACGCAGCCAACGATAGAACTTGATCAGCCAACGGCCATATGTCAGACACCGCTTGGCTCCCTCCGCAATCAGCCTGGCAGACCCAAAAAAGTCAAAGTCCCAAACTTTATCCAATTCTCCACTCCCCCTACAGCTGGATGTTTTGCCCCCGCCAGAATCACCATTGCATCACCATGGCAAATCACCACCGGGACAAAATGCTGAAGATGAAATTGGTGGGAGATAGCAATAGCAACGATGCGTTTAGAGTGATTTGAGAGATTCCTGTCCACCTGGCTGCCATGCAGTCCATGTTCAAGTGGCTCTTCTCTTGTGCGGATGCACGCCCTGGGAAGGATGCCTGGGGTTGCTTGGCCTTTAAACCAGAGTGAAGAAAGAGTGGATCACGGGTTTTCTCGGTTAGAACATAGAAAGGGAACTGCATTGTAGCAGTGATGCATTGTAGGGTGAGCTGACAGGAGCACCCAACAAGAACTCCCGGTGGCCGAGGATGTTCGACTGTCGTGTTCACCTCGCTACACTGTTTGAAGAAGCAGTGATGGTTTGGAATCAGATGGGAAGGCTCATGTACTGTATTTGGTGGTGAGCCAGCCGTGGTCGGCAACGGTGTCTGACTGAGGTGATGTGTTTGAAACGCAGCTTGACATGGAGGAGGCAGCGGTGGAATCAGTGTGCTGTGGCTTCCAACAGAGCCAATCAACAACTCATCACGATCAACTCAAACTCACAGAGTCCAGCAGGGGCCAGAGTGAAATTGATGTGTTTGATCATTCTCAACACCGATTTGAAGGATTTGATCCAGCGATGCCATCCCAACATCTCGTGGGCTCCATCTGCCACTCGGTGGCTGTTCCAATCGAAATGGTTTCCCTGCTGCCATTGGTCCTGAACCGAACATGGAGTCTTTTTCAGTCCCTGAACTCGCGGTCCGGGGGGTCGCCCACAGGCGGAGTACCAAGCCATGGCGGGGCGGCGGCAAGGGTCGCCGGACCCATCCACGGTGGTCTTCTTAGATGTGGACGGCGTCCTCCACGCCGCGTGGTGCAAGTGGGGTAGTCTGTGATGGGGAAGGGGTGGGGGGGGGGAAGTGATGGGAAGTGGTGTAGTGGGGCAGGGATTACATACCATATATACCATAGGAATCGACCAATCTCATATACATACTGCAAAATACACACACATGCAAATATTGGCGTCAGTCCATGTCTTTTGACCGGCCTTCCTTAAAGCTAGACCACCCCAAACATGGTGGAGTCAGGACCTTGGAAGACCGACGTCTCCTGCGATCTTCTTGGGTCCTCCACGTGGTCGGTTCCGCCCCGCGGTGCCTCAGGCGAAGGGCGATGAGTTGGATCACTTCCGCGCCAGCAACATGCGCGCCCTGCGACGCATTGCTGCCCGGCCGGAGACGGATGGACCGCAAGGGGGTTGGGGGTTGGACCTCGGCGGCCAGGGGCTTTCGGAGGGGATGACCGACGTGACCGACGTGACCGTGAAAAGATGGACACGGGATGAGACGGGTGGTGGTCAGATGGCTCGGAAGCAGACGAGTCGTATAGATCGGGCCTGTCCCAGTAAACCATCGTAAGCCTGTAGAGCAGTTGGTAAAGAAGAACATCAGTATTTTAGAGAACAGGCCTGCAACCTAACGATCATGATCCACCGGCAATGACTGGTAATGGGATATATACGCCATCCTGTATAGATCGAGTTGACCAGCAAGAATCCATTGAAGCCCAACATGTTGGTTGTTGATACGCCTGGGCAGCGGTTTTGGCGACATGCGAGTGGCAAACCGGATTCCAGACCTTATAGCCGTTAGGAAGATATGCTTTTCCGTCTCACCCCAGAGAAAAAAGTGCGTGATAGATTCGGGTCATGGGCCTTTTCCAGCATACATTGGGCCTGGACGTGGTTTTGCAAGGCCAGAAGCCACGTGAAGACTTTGCCCATGTCTGAAAAAGCAACACTTCCGGCCTATTGGTTGTCTCGTCCAGGTGCTCACGAGCAATGCCACGGTGGTCCTCTCCTCAAGTCACTTGGAAATTTTGTGCACGACGAAGGTGTGTGGCTGAAGTACCATTGAAGTGTCGCCAGATTTTGGAACGACACCCGGAAAAGATGAACATGAACCCTGAAAATGCACCACGGGTTGTGGGTTTATGGACACCCTGACATCCTGTGTATTGTCCATCCAACAACCACCCCTTCCGTGGTGTTGGTGAGTTCGAAGGTGACCTTGGCGAGAAAATTTTGGACAACTACGCATCCCAGAGACCATACTTGGTTTGTATGACTCATACTATCTGCTACATAGTGTCATGGTCACGTCTCATGGCAATGTGTTATAGCAGTTGTGGTGAATGCGTCCTTGTCATTTACAAAGCTTCTTCCAGAACGGGCTCCCTCACAAACTTTTGGCCCATTTTCTACACAATGTTCATGTCAATGTAATTATCACGGATATCCTTCGACTTGTCAGGGCTTGTTTGACCTTTAACTGTTTAGAATTGATGTTTCACTCGTTTTCCATGGTCTACACTCCCTGGAATTGTCATGGAAGTGGACCACCTGATTGGTCTTCGGACCATGGGCATCCTTATTTACAGGGCCTGCCACGGAACGATGATGATTCCAGGTATTGACCAATGAGACCCCCCAAGACTAACATAGACCCCGAAAGCCACTGGTTGGTAGAGGAAGACACTCCCCAGGTGTTCGTTTTCGGGAGGATACCCTTTTTGCTTCTTCCGTGGGCCCGTCCGTGCCACGACCAGTCGGACATGGCGGACGAGGCTGGCGCCGAAGGCCCCCGCTGCTCCAGCGTGCAGATGCAGTGCTGCAGAATTGGGGGCTTGCAGGCAGGGAGCCTTGCGGGGGGAGAGAAAACTTGAAGAGAGAAGACTTGCTTGAGTCAGTGACTAGCTTTACAGTCTGCCCAGGTAGGTCCAACATGGTCCAACCGCTAGACTCTAGACTGGTTCTTCTTTGGGAAGAGGAGTGGTTCTCCAGACACCATCTGGCCCCCCAAATGGTCCGGCTCGTCGATGAAACGAAGGGGTCCCTATGGTTTGGAAGAGTGGATGCAAGATGTAGGACCCATTGCCGGCTTCTTCCAAGTGACCCTCAAAGAGGGGTCGTGACCCAAAAGGGAGGCTTATATAAGTGACCTCAAACTGGGAGCGAAACTGTCTGGATCACTTGGAAGAACCAAGAACCAGGTCGTAAGAATGATGAGTTTTAGCAGAAGAAGAGTCACTTGCCCTGCCACAGCGAAACCATGAACTCCATGGTTATGTGTGGTGGTTTGAGATAGCGAACAGATTGTGTGGCAACACACTGGGGATGCTGATATTCTTATTTCAGCCTTCTTGTTTTCTTTGATCCCAAACAGATAGGACCAGGAAACAACCTCCATAGTTGGCTCCCATCTCGCTCAGTTGACATCGTTTCTCAGGGCGCCCCGTGAATTGAGTCCTCTATACCAGGACCTTCCAGCAGATGGTTTTTGGACACCCCTTAACCTCTTAAGAGGCCATTTATAGACACCTCAGAAGGAAGGTGCTGGTAGATCCGTGCCGACCCTTGGAATCCTCTCGAGATCCGTTTCGGTGCACGACGCGACGGTGGGAGCGCCATCTGCGCGGCGTACGGATCGAACGCCAGCCGCGGAGATGTGCAGCGACGTATCGAACGCTTCGTGGACACCTTCGCTGCTCTTTTTTAGATCATGTGACCGGAACCCTTCTGCGGGAGCGCTTAATTAGCTGCCTGCCTGCACAACGACGGATGACTCTCGAAGCCGTCGGACGCCAGCACCAGGTGTGGCCGATCAGACGCCGGACTTGAAGGCCCAAGGCCTGAAGCGCGAGGAGCGCCGGTGTTTTGCGGCCCCCAGCGCCGCACGCGGTGTTTTGGGGAGGAGACAGGGCGAGTGGGTGGCCGAACGTCACCCAACCAGAACTCGTTGCTACGGCCGCCATATGGTCGCCATATGCCGATGTCGTGACATCGCCATGTTTTATTGGGCACACGTGGATGACCCATGAGCCATGGTACGAAGTGGTCCCATGGCCTCCGGTGAACCAATCGACTCGTGGGTCAAAACCTGGCTTTTTCTCGACCTTCTTGAGGACGAGATTTTGATTTGGCTCCGACGGCATCCCGAGGCCAGATGGTTCTGGGGGCCACCTGGGGTCCCGGGAAACGATGGATCATGAAGCTGGAGTATATTATGGCTGGCTACAGTACATTGTGCAGGAGATGCCCAGCCATGAGCATCCCAGGGTTCATGAATGAGGTTCCCCACTCAAACCCAACAGGTGGGAAAGTTTGGTCCTGATATTTTTATCATTTTTTTTTCGAGGGGCACTGAGGCAGAATCCGCGCTCCAGAGCTTCATGTTGATTCATTTGTTCATTGGAACATATTGGAACCGTGTCCAAAAAGAACATCTGTCCAATAGTGGTGGGTCCACTCTTTTCATGCACATGCAACAGCTCACATTAGTTCACCACGGTAGCCGCTATTGGAGACCCAACAAGGAGTCCGGCGGGAGACCCAACAAGTGACACTGATAGACTGGAGACACATGATATACTTGGGCTATTTTTGGCTTGCTGTATGTTCAAATCCGAGCCAACCCGGTCTTTTCAAGGCAAGATTCCATTGAATGGAACATGGTGGAACAGCTGCGTGTTGAATATCACCATTGGTTCACTGGGAATGTTCCTCATCCACTTCTCTTGCACCTCCTCGCCCCCCGGAGGTTTTCAGCTGTGTGTTGAATATGGACCATTGCTTTCACTGGGTTCATGCTTCGACCTCATCCACTTCTCACTCTACTGCTTCGCACCCTCCAGGTCCGGCCCGTTCAGGTTCGGCATTGGTTGGCCTTGGATGACATGGAGTTGACCTCCTCGGCGTCCAGCTTGGTGAACGCCTTGATGGCCCAGCACGTGATCCAGACCGATCCCGAGTGTGCCGGCCGAGTGTGGGCGGGGCTGACGAACGGACGCCGAACCGCCCGTTGAGAATCAGAGGTCCGCCGGGCGGTCGGATGTGATGTGAGAACATGCTGAAGATCAGGGCTGAGGAATGTGCGACTCGTACTGGTAGGGAGTGAGGGAATGACCTCGCAATAGAGATTCCTTACGGTCCAGCCACCCCTACTTTCGTCGCACCGGTCAGAGGGACACGTGACCAGTCGCCCTTTCGAGAATCACAGGATCGACCAGACCCAACAGATGAAATATCATGAAACCCTCCGTTGGTACTTTCTATTCTGCTTCATAGTTCCGAAACTGGGTGCTGAAAGAACTGGTACTTCTTAGCTTCGGATCTCCTCCTCCTCCTCCTCCTCCTCAGACCAACTTCTATGCACATCTTCTCAGGATCGGCCTGAGAGAGATGTCCCAAGTCTCCCGCGCTCTGCGGGTGCTGCAGAAGTCCCGGGGCTTCGTCGAGGACGGTGGTGGCGGGTGGCGGTGGTCGGTTTTTCCGGTTGTGGGAGCGTTTGCAAAGTCACCCGGTCGCGTGCAAAAAGAGGACAGCTCTTTCCAGATGTTGCACGTTCTATTTGGGTATCATCATATTGAGAGATACCGGATATCGCTCAGCAAACTTCCAGGAATTGGACAAATGGTTTTGTAGTTTGCCCTTAACTTCGTGATTCGCACGAACGAAACTAGGCCGAGAATAGATGTGAAGCATCCCGGCCAAATATTTGGGAAATTGGGGGTGGAATCGAGCTGAACTGTTTTGCTTTCTTTGCGTCAGGCAAGGTATTTGGAGCCAAAGGCGTGTCCAATGAACCCAAAAAGGTAGTGTAGGGCAGCGGGTAGTGCGGTAGTTCATTGTGATTTTGTTGGATCACATCTTCTCCATTTCATGCGGACTTGCCCTTCAGGAGGCGCTGGAAAGAAAGAGGGTGACACAGAGATCTGGGCTCTGTGCATGAGACTAATCTTCCCATTGCATAGTGCCTCAGCTGCCTCAGCCGTGGCGTTGGGGTCGATGGAAACCGTCAAGCAGCAGCTCATGCAGATGAGATCAGGTTAGGCAACATCGTGTTGAAAGAAGTGGGTTCGTTGGGAGATGACCCTTTTCCCGAAGACACCCTTTGCTAGAGATGGGGTCGAAGATGAAGGCTTTGGCTGCTGGTGATGGCTTGTCACTTGTCAGTATCTACTCTGAACCAGATCCACTCAGCTCTCAGAAGAGGCGATTTGAGAGGCCAGCCCAAAACAGACACCACTGACACCACCCACATTTTTGAAGCCCAAGTTTGGGACTCCAGGTACACAACGTACAGGAAAACCGACATTTTTTTTCTTGAAAAAGGACAGGATTCCAGAATTTAATTGGGGTGTTGTGGACGCACGGAAGCAACAGGTCACCATTGGAACTGCCGGTCCTTCCCTACCCACCACGTGCCCACATGAGGTGGCCGGTCGCGGCTCCACATGAGAGGTCCGCGGTTTTTGGTCGGCACGAATGAGCGAGAGTCCAAGTGCCCAGCTGCACGTGGCCCAGGTCAGACCTGGTCCCTTTTCGACACCTTAGACGTATCCCAGGTGGCCTTGATAGCCCAAGCTTGGTTTGGGGTCCGGAAACGAGCAACAAGCACTAGACGAAGTTTCCATGGCTATGGTTAGTTGAGCGATTCAGCACTAAAAGGACACAGTCACGTTTCTGCAACTGTGTAGGATTTGCACCCCAGAGCAACATACTGCGGACCGCATCTCTGACAGCGGCACTTTCACACCTGCGATTCACGCGCCCTTCCAGGACGCCTAATGATGCCTAGTATAGGTGAAGGACGCCGTTCAACTGTGGACGTTGGTGACCCCCAACCAGAGAAATATCAGGACCATTTGTTTGACCATGTCCTTGCTGGAAGCCCTCGTTGTGGGTTGATGCTCCAGCATGCTGATGCTCCGTGACCCTTGCCAGAAAAGACCTGTGCAGCATCCTGGACTTTCGACATCTAGAATCGATTTTTTTGGGCGCCTTTGGCACCTTCGGCCGACGCCGGGGGCTGGAAGAAACCATTTCGGTCGGTGCCTTGGGTGTTGGTGTCGGTGTCGGTGGGCGGTATGAAAGCTGAGAAACCTCAGAAATGGCGTCGGGGCCGCTCCTGGTCTGATTGCTTGTGCTTTCCCGGCAGACGGTTCCAAGTTTTGCCTGAGCCCTGACGTCTCATAGAAGGCGTCCGCTTGAGAGTCCGTCTTCGGCGGATGCAAGGCACATCCTGGTGCCTTTGATTGCCTTTGAATTCGCAGGATGTGCATTTGGGTACAGCAGTATGGAGCCCCAGTTAAGATCTCCTGATTTGTTCATTCAGAGGTGTGCATGCTTGCTTCAGGCGGTATGCACCAGCCGGAGGCGAGAAAGTGGAGACCATCTGGGGTCTTCATTCTTGGATGTACCCATTTGAATGCGGAAGCGGGAGCGGTGACCTGCTTTTGAAAAGCGTGCAAGAAAGTGGACGCGAATGGAAACTAAACATGTGACGAGTTCTGTTCATTGTTTTTGGAACCACACCGTCATATGCGGAATGCAACCAGATTTTTCTAGGACTCCGGATTTTGACACTTCATCACTCCTACTGCAAGTTTTCTTGCTGCTCCAACGAAGCCTCGGAGTAGCAATCTTTTGCGCGCGCAAGGATGTGCGCACGCGCCGGTGCGGCCGATTGAGTCAAAAGCAGGGGGAAGGGGTGGTGGATGGGTTCCACCAGCGAAAGAAGGACCAGATCCGCTCAGATCCACGAAACATCCGCTAGATCCCTGGAAGACCCATGGTTGGCACGGCGACATGTCCGGAAGAAACATGGTGGCCATGGATGTGGGTTGTTCCGGGGTGACCGGCTCAAACACTTCACTTGTCGTGGCGACCACACTTGTGTGGTGTGTGACTTGTCGGCCTGAAGGAGTTGTGTCCTCTATACCAGGACACCCGCTTAGGGGCTTCTATTGATAGCCCTTGTGGGTCCCGGTAGTAATATTTCAATATTTCTGAAGCACTTCATACTTTTGTGGTTCAGACGTTCATAAAGCTTCGACCGCAAACATGACAATATCTCTAGACAATTTATCCGAATTTCTCCCCGTGACTCGTCACCCTGCCAGTCGCAAGCAAACCGACCGACGGTCCATTTTCTTCAGCTCTTGGGGACGCAAGTTGGACCATCGATATCATCGACCATTATATAAGTCATAAGTGTGTTCAAAACAAGCACTTATTCCCCATGGGCAGATTGTTTGGGCTTCGCTCTACCTGGGCGGTTACCTATGCCTGTTCCTATCGGACCCAGGTTGCCAAGGGCGTTTGCAGCCCAAGAAATAAGATGACAGAGACCCGAGACCCCGAGGGGTGTCCGCACAAGCCTTTTCTGTTGGATTTTCAGGTGTTGTCCAATTAGCACTGTGCCGACCGGCATTCTTGGGCCAGGTAGAGGCCAAGCAAAAGGGGGAGCAGATGGCTGCAGAGGCGGCGTTTGGGGGTGCATGATTCTTTTTGTTTCTGCGGATCGCTTCGGTTTTCGACCTCGATCACTTTGGTGTTGGCCTGTTAGTCGGCCTGTTGACCCCAGGGTGCATCCACGTTGTGTCCATCTTCTTTCCGGAGTTGTTTATATTTTTTGGATTTTTTTGGTTTTTATCGTTTTTTTGTGTGTTTCCTTTCGTAGTTTCAGCAAGCTCTTTGGGAGCGACCGGGCAACACAAAACGAACTGTATCGACCTCTTTCCTCCCAGGCTGAGGAGAAGGCTTCTCTGGATGTGGCGACAGCAACTCTGCTTGAGACCGTACCCGTGATGGACAGCAACTCTGCTGTCTCCTCTCGTGGAGCGCCCACCGAAGCACCCCAGCTAAGTGGGCCTCTCGCCCCGTCCCGGAATGGAACTGCAGTGGTCCCAAGTCTCACATACCTTCGGGCTGTGTCGTTTCCAAAAGCTGCAGCACTGGACTAAGGCCTGGTATGAATGATGAATCCCCACGGCGCCAGTCCGACCCCTGACCCCAAACCCAGGCCCCAAAGTCTCCCCCCCACCTTCACTTGGAACTCACGGTCTCCCCCAAACGGGCTTTCACTCCCCAGCCGTCTCTTGCTCACCATGGCGCCTCCCTCTCCGGCACCGAGGCGCGCGAGGACGCTCGGCTCTGCCGAGAGATTGCCGGCCGCACCGTGGCGGCCTCGCGCCAGCCGGGGGGCCCCGGCGTCGCCGACCGCGACCGGCCGGGTTTCGGGCGCCGAGATGGTGTTTGTGCCGGTTTGTTCGAAGAGTTCGCTGAAAGAAGATCGGATGTGAGGTGATGCAGTTGAAGGATAAGTGAACTGGCATAAACTCTGCTCTGCCAGGACCTTCCCAGTGACCTCTTCAGGATTGGTTAGTGACCTTTTCAAAGCCTAAGTGACCTCATTCTGGGATCTCAAAGGGTCACTGGGAAGGTCCTCGTGCAGAATGTTTAGAAGAATTGACAGATTTACACTTCATTGCTTTGGTCTATAAGGTCTGCGGTTTTATTTGGGCTTAGATGGTTAGCTAATGTTAGCTAGCAAACATTGGTGCTAGTAACAGTGGTAGCAATAGTGCTATAGCGGTCGTCCTGGTCGTCCTGGTCAAAGCTTCCTGGTTCCGGCCCCTCGCGCCAGGTTGGTGGAGCGCACGCGGTCGAACGGCCAGGATCGGCTGGCCCGGTCTGGGGCACTCAGGGGTGGATGGAGGGGAGGGCGGGTAATGTGTGCCTGAGATCCTGGCACACTCCACTTCTCAGTTGAAAACCAGTTGATTCCAGTCAATCCTTCCAGACTCAAGACTCTCGCAGTGTTACATCGCCAGTGCAGGAATACGGACTTGTATATACCCCCCCCCGCCGGGGCCATGGGGTGTCTGAGCTCTGGTCGCCCCTCGGAGGCGACCAACGGGGTGTCCATTCATTCGCCTTCGGGGCACGGAGGTGCACCTTAGAGGTGACAGAGGCGGAGAAGGCGGCGCTGGAGGCGGAGCTCCGCGGCGTGTCGCCGCGTCGCCCGTGTGCGGTGCGGAGGTGGATGGCTTTCGGAGGTGGATGGGCCCGATGGAGGATTTGACGATTTGCAAGCAGATGGAGAACCTCATCGGTCTGGTCGTTCTTTGTGTGTGTGTGTGTGTGAGGTTATGTTGCCTCTTGAGCTACACCCAGAGGGAGTCTTTCAGATTCTGCCTAGCTGCGAGCAGCTTTCCTGCGTTGTTCTCACCAAGCTAAGCTGCCTGAGCCCAGCAACGCTCCTGAGCCAAGCTGTGTGAGGCATTGGAGGAGGAGAAAGAGGCCTCGGTGAATGCACAGAAACTCATAGATGCTTGGACTTGAGGGTGGTTGAGGGGTGGTTGGTTGAAAGAGTATGTTTCAAAATCGTGCACCCACAAACGGAGCGGCAACCGAGCTGGGTTGTGAAGATTTGTGTTGCCTGGAGCAAGCCATCTTTTTTAAATTCGCTATTTGTTCGCTTGTTTTGCTTGGGATGTCCGGGGTGTGTCACGTGGCGGAACGTTGAAGAGATACCTGCTCATTTTGGGGCTAGGCAAATACTCGTACTAAGGGGTCTTGTTGCCAAGTTGCATTCACAAAAGATACAATACCTCATAGATTTGTCAGCTTCTCAGGTTCCATTCTGTATAATTCTCTCTCTCTCTCTATATATATAAACCGCCCTTTGTGTTTGTATGTACAGCCCATATATACTCCGCTATAGGTACTGCAGACACGTGACTCTTGACGTGTTTTGGCTCAAGGGAGAAAAGGCGTTCCGAAACGTCGAAACCTTGTTTTCATGGTAGCGCGTGAGCCCGGTGAAAGCGAAAGGGACCGAGTTTTGCGCTTAAAAGAGGAAAGACACAGTAAAGTAGAAAGCTCCGAAGAAGAGGAGCTGGGGTCCTCGGGAGCGGCAGATCCTGCCGCCCCGAGCGGAATAGGAGAAGAGAGAAAAGAAAAAGAGGAGGAGAAGAAAGAGCCTTTGCCAGCCACATCAGCGGCGGATTCAGCCGCAAACATTGCTCCAGCGGTTGAGAAGACCGCAGAAACAACCTCAACGGTCGAAAAGACCGTAGAAACAAAGGAGGAGAAGGAAAATACAGAAGGAGCAGAAGGGTCAGAAGAAGAAGAAGAAGAGTCTGAACAGGACCTAATAGGTGAGCCAGGAACTGGAGCGGCTAGTTCAGCCGCACGGTCATCATCTGGCCGAACCATCGCCGATTTCGTCACCTCCGCAGAAGGGGTCACAACAGGTTGGGAAGTTCGGGGTACTCAAACCAAGTATACCCCAGCCAAGATCGATCCCAAGGCACCTTGGAGGAAGAAGCATCCAGAACCACAGTCCGGATTCCGACATCGAAGCCAAACTTCACTTCAGTATCGGAAGCTCAAGGACTTGGTGAGGTTGCAGAAGAAGCAGGGTGTTATTACAGAAGACCTGCAAAAGAGAATCAAAGAGTTTGGCAAAGGGCGCCCCAAGGAGGAGATCAGGCTAGAGCGGAAGGAACAAAGACTCCGCAATAAAGAGAAGCGCGAGGAGAGCGCAAAGCGAAAAGCTCAGAAGAAGAGCGAAGCGGCTGATCCAGCCGAGGAAGGAGAAGAGGAAGCCGAGGTGAGCCTATCGGAAGAAGAGACTTCCGTGAGACTGACGGAGAGGAGCCGCAGTCCGGTAAGGCGGCCTCGATCTCCAGACGGACCGCCACCGGTCCGGCGGCCCCGATCTCCGGACGGGCCGCCACCGGCCCGCCGACCTCAGATCGGCCGCGACCCGGCGGAGTTGACCTCCGCAGGAGTGCCAAAAGCCTCCGATCCTTGACCGGGCGAACCGCCCGCGACTGCCGCTGGAAAAGAGTGAGCGGCAGCAGCAGCAGGGTTGAGAGTAGGAAACCATGGAACAGCAGATCCAACAGCTGATGGATATGGTACTTCAACTCCAACAGAACCAAACGAGGTTGGAGCAAGAGAATCAAGTTTTGAGGGAGTCTCAAGGCGGTGTGACAATGCTAGCCTCAGCCGTAGGGGAATTGGCTAAAAGCCTTGAGAAGAAAGATGATAGGAAGAAGTCCCAAATCCTCATGGACACCAAAGGGTTGGGGCGTCCCGAGAATTTTGGGAATGTTGAAGGGGAGTTTCGAAAGTGGGCCAGGAGTATTGATAACCTGTTCATAACTACTTTTGGGAGGGAGTTCATTGAGATCCTAGAGTACATCTTGGAACAGGAAGACGCGATTGAGATGACCAAGATAGAAGAAGAGTTTGGGTCTGGCACCGTTACTGACATCGGTGACCTAGAAGACAAGGCAGATCAGATCCATCGCGTGCTCCTGACCCTCACTTCCGGAGAAACGGAAGATCTCATGGTAGGAGCCTCAAATGGTTTCGAGGCATACCGAAGGGTCCACCGACGATGGGATCCCCGTACTTCGGGAAGAAAGCGGAACATCCTCAGGGCTATCCTTCAG